TAAATCTCCATTTCTTACGACAAGGGGGACTATGTGTAGCCCTGGGAGAGAAATGATGTTTCTATATAGAACACTCCAGGCTGGTTAAGGATTCTATGACCAAAGTATGAGAAGGTCTCAACAAGCTGATGAAAATCATCAAAGAAAGGTTGGGGACCATCCAATAATGGTGCAAAGGACTCAAACTCAATATGAGATCCTCAACCAAGATATAAAAATGGGCCATCTGACTCAAGACAGAAATTTGCAACCTAGGAATTGACTACCCATGATTGGGTGTTCTCCAGTTACTAGGAGAGGAGGGAATGAAAGGGAAAAATCAGTAGCCATCTTGAGAGATGCTCCCCTCTCCCAAAGGTATTTGCTGACCAGCAGTTTTAGAACTGACCAAAAGTTGAACTCATGGGAAGATAAGGCTGAAACAATAAATCTGAATGTATATATTCTGGGTTCAGCAAAAGCAGGACATAGGGAGTAAAAAAAAATAAATGTATGTCTCTGTAGATACCCTGCATCCTGTGAGCCATCAGTAACCTCATGCTTACAGTTCAGCAGTAACTTCAAAGAACTGCCTCACCCCAGCCCCCTTGTCCAGTCCCAAGATATGTAACTCTCTGCACGTAAACCTTTCCTATATAAACCCCTTGAAGTGAGTGCTCCTCCACCTGCTATGTGGAGTGTTTGGAATATGGACCAAGCCCCGGGCTTGCGTATTTAAAAAAAAAAACCTCTGTGTATTTGCTTCGGATATTGGTTTTGTAGCGGTCTTGCATGGGGGTCTTGTGACATGGGTACAACAGAACTGAGAAGCTTTCCAACTCTAAACATAATATCTGGACAGTAAATTTTATATATTGCTGAGTAAAAGACCGTATCTTATGTTTCGAGTGGGGTATGTGTGTTGTATGTAAGCTTATGCCCCAAATAGCTTTGATTTATTTTTAATTAGCTTTTGATTTATTTTAGACAGGATGTCCTGGAACTCACTATGTAGACCAGGCTGGCCTTGAATTCACAGAGATCTACCTGCCTCTGAGTACTGGGATTAAAAGTGTGTACTACTGTGTCTGGCTCTAAAATAGTTTTGAATAGAAAACCACTCAATGTCTTCAGAAAAAAATGTCTTTTGGAGTTAAAAATTTTTTCATTATTGCTTTTCCTTTTAATGAAGAAAGCTAATGGCTAGAACTGCATAGTGATGTTTCACTAATATTTGTTGTGTGTAGAACACATTTAGTACAGTTTATACTTTTTTGTTTTTTGTTTTTTTTGAGTCAGGGCCCCATGTAGCCCAGGCTGGCCCCGAACTTCCTTTGTAGTCAAGGATTACCTTTAATTCCTGATCCTCCTGCCTTCACCTCCTAATGCTAAGATTACAAGTGTGCATCACGAGTCCCATTACACATCTTCTTTGAAAGTCAATGTTTTAAAAACCACTATTTATTACTACCATTTTTTTTGTGGTAATTTCAAGAAAAGTTCAATCTAAATGTTGAATTAAATATATAACCTTTGGTAGTTTGAATGTAATTGACCCCTGTAAGCTCAGGGAATGACACTATTGGGAGGTGTGGTTTTGTTGGAGTAGGTGTGGCCTTGTTGAAGGAAGTGGGTCACTGTGGAGGCAGGCTTTGAGGTCTCATATATGCTCAAGCCACACCCAGTGTCTCAGTTCACTTCCTGTTGCCTGTAGGATCCAGATGTAGCTCCTGCTCTGCTCTTGGCTCCTTCTCTAGCACCATGTCTGCCTGCCTGCCACCTTGTCCCACCAAGATGAAAATGGACTAAGCCTCTGGAACTGTAAGCCACCCAATTAAATTTTTTCCTTTATAAGAGTTGCAGCAGGGCTGGAGAGATGGTTCAGGGGTTAAGAGCACTGGCTGTTCTACCAGAGGTCCTGAGTTCAATTCCCAGCAATCACATGGTGGCTCAAAAACATCTGTATTGAGACCTGGTACCCTTTTCTGGCCTACAGGTATACATGTAAGCAGAACACTGTATACATAATTAAATAAATAAATCTTAAAAAAAAAAAAAAGAGTTGCTGTGGTAATGGTGTCTTTTCACACAATAGAAACCCTAAGACAAACCTTTGTATACATGTAACTAGAATTTCTTTCTTTCTTTCTTTCTTTCTTTCTTTCTTTCTTTCTTTCTTTCTTTCTTTCTTTCTTTCTTTTTCTTTCTTTCTTTCTCTCTTTCTCTTTCTCTCCCTTTCTCTCTCTTTCTCTTTCTCTCTCTCTTTCTCTCTTTCTCTCTCTTTTTCTCTCTCTTCCTCTCTCTCTTTTTCTCTCTTTCTCTCTCTCTCTTTCTCTCTCTCTCTCTTTCTCTTTCTTTCTCTCTTTTTCTTTCTTTCTTTCTTTATCTCTCTTTCTTTCTTTCTTTTTTTTTTTTCGAGACAGGGTTTCTCTGTGTAGTTTTGGTGCCTGTCCTGGATCTCACTCTGTAGACCAGGCTGGCCTCGGATTTATAGAGATCCTCCTGACTCTGTCTCCCAAGTGCTGGGATTAAAAGCATGCACCACCACTGCTCAGCAAAATTTTTTCTTGATTTTAAATTTGAAAACAAAAATTCTATTAGCCTAGGAATGAGATTTAATTCTCTTGGTTTATTTTGATCTTTGGACTTTATTTTTTTATTTTTCATTTTTTCTAGAAAGAGTTTCTCTACATATAGTCTTGGAACTCACTCTGTAGACCAGGTTGGCCTTGAGTTCACAGAGATCCACCTGCCTCTGCATCCCTAGTGCCGGGATTAAAGGCGTGCATGACCACTACCCCACAATCTTTGGATTATTTTTAAAATTATAAATCAGTAGTTGGATTTCAAGATATAGAGACTTTATATAATATTTGTTAATATTTTGTTAATTTGAATTCTTTGTATGGATGTTACAATTCTCCCAGCATAGTACTTGTTGGAAAATATTGTTTGAATTAATGTTTGTATATGTTCATTTGAAATTATATTAAAATCAAGAAAATGTATATTTGTTATAATTTCCTTTCTGATTTTTACACGTGTTTATAAACATTGCATGCATGTGGGTGGCTACATGTACATATGTGGGTGCATTGTGGAAGCAGAGGTTGCTATGTTCTTCAGTGATTCTCTACATTATGTGAAGAGGCAGGGTCACTTGCTGATCCCAGAGCTCATCAGTTCAACTAGTCTAGCAAGCCAGCTTGCTCCTGAGATCCCGTCTCCACTGCTAGCTTGCTGGGATGACAGGTGGGCCTCTACTCATGTCTGGCTTTTATGTGGGTGCTGGGCATCTGAACTCTGGTCCTCAGGCTTTACACCCTGAACCATCTCAGACCATCTTTTTCTTTATTTTTTTAGCACTGTTGGGAATGGAACCCAGGGCCTTACCCTGCAATGTAAGTGTTCTACCATTAAGCTTTGCTGTGGGATGTTCTGTATGGCAAATGTGTTGCTCTGATTGGTCAATAAATAAAACACTGATTGGCCAGTGGCTAGGCAGGAAGTATAGGCGTGGAGAGGAGAAAAGAAAGAACAGGAAGGCTGAAAGAGACACTGCCAGCCACCACCATGACAAGCTGCATGTGAAGATGCTGGAAAACCACGAGCCACGTGGCAAGGTATAGATTTATAGAAATGGGTTAATTTATGATATAAGAACAGTTAGCAAGAAGCCTGCCACAGCCATACAGTTTGTAAGCAATATAAGCCTCTGTGTTTACTTGGTTGGGTCTGAGTGGCTGTGGGACTGGCGGGTGAGAGAGATTTGTCCTGACTGTGGGCCAGGCAGGAAAACTCTAGCTACAAAGCTTTATGCATGGCTCCTTGTGAGGAAAAAGACAAACTGGACAATGTTGAAAAATACATTTTGCAAACCGCAAACAAAGTATAGAGCAGAAGGGCCTGAGTGGACCTGTGCAGGTGAGAGTCTGCCTCCAAAATTCCCAAGGAAGGTCATCCAGGCCTGCACAGGGCCTTTCTGGGAGTGCAGAAGCCTGGTTTCCTGGCATGCTTGTCTGCGGCTCTAAATTAACCACAGAGAGTAGAGAACAGGGATCCCTGGCTTCCATGTCCCAGGACTGATATCCATTGCTGTCTATTGCCTGAGGAACAATTCACCTTATTTGTCAGTTCTGGTCAGTTTTAGCCTGAAGCAAAGCCAAGCTGGAAGATGGGCCCTTTCGTTGTTCTTAGATACTGTCTGCTTAGCAGGGGGCGGGCTACACAGTATAACACGGTGGGGAGGCAGCAAGCCCACAGGGTAGGAACATGGCCATAATTCAGAGAAGGGAGGGGTAAGAGTTTACCTTTTCCCTGGGTCAGTAAGAGCATCACCAAGGCATTAGTACCCTAAACTCCCAAATGCCCCGGTGGCATCCACAGCCCCAGGCCACTGGAGGACAGCTGGAACACAGTATGTTCTGGGAAGACTGGTGCCGAGGTGAGCCAGCTTCTCAGGGGAGACAAACACCGTATGGTCTGGATGGTGACCCCACTAATGTGCAAATTGGGCGAGTGCCCTCATGTCTTACACAGTCTTTGCAAATGTGATTCTAGAAAGGATTTCAGAGACCCAGAGCCGGAGTTTGGTCCCACTTCCAATGATAGATGTGAAGAAAAACAGAGAGAAAGGAGACTGACGCAGAGGACAAGCTAAGCGGGCAGAGACTGGAGGATGCAGCCAGGAGTCCAGCAGGCCTGGGCCGCCCCAAGCTGGGAGAGGCGGGAAAGAGCCTTCCTTAGCCTGCCAAGAAAGCAAGGAAAACTAAGGGACCGTGCTGCTGCTGTCCCTGCCAAACTTCTAGATCTCTGGTCTCTAGAAATGTAAGCGCCGTCTCTGCCCGGTCCTTTCTGCACCGCCCTCCCCCGCCCCATGCCTCGTTCCCTCCTTTCTGAACCCTCCGCAAGCCCTCCCGCCCCCGCCTCGTCCCACACCAGCAGCAGGAGAGTATGCAAATCAGGTTCTCCTGCACAAGCTCTGATTGGAGGCGAAGACCCGGAAGGGGGTGGGGTGACGCTTCTGCAGCGGCCGCAGCACCGCCCCGCAGCACAGGCTCCTGGTGCCCAGGAGCGCCAGCTTCACAGGGGAGACAAACACCGCATGACGGTCCTCTGGGGTGGGCTTGCATCTTGTAATTTCTAGAAGATCTGTGGACCGAAGATACAGATTTGGTAAGTGTTGGTGAGTGAAATGGAAAAGTCTGTTTTGAAAAAAGTCTCTTTCTGTAACTTCGGGACTCCACGGAGGCAGGAAACCTGCCCAGAGCCTTGATGGGAATCTGTAACTGGCGGGGAGGGGGGCGGGCGGCAAATCCATGGGAAGGCAGGTCTGTCTTCCGAGTTGGGATCCAGAAGCTTGTGTACACCTGTCATCAGCCTCAGAGGACATCCGCGCTCGATCGGGAGAGGGGAGCGGGAAGGGGGGGCGGGAGGGGGACAGAAAGAGGGGGGGCGGGGACAGGGAAGAGAGGGGGAAGATCTAAGGGAAAGAGAGGAAGGACGGACAGAGAAGGAAATGATCTTCTAAGAGTTGAGTTCAGAGAGAAGGGAACCTGTAATCGCTGAAAATGAAGTTACCGCTTCTTATCGAGTTGGGCATCTGGCTGAGGCGCATATCTGGATGATGGGGAGGATATTATTTTGTTGAGGAATGTCTTAGAATGAATTGTCTTTCTGGGACTGGCTGTCTGTGCCAGATGTGTGGATGTCACAGACTCAAACTCCTGATGCTCTGAGCTTGTTTCCTTAAAAACTTTTTTTTAAAGGTAGGGTCTTATGTATCCCTTGGAGCTGGAGTCCCTGTTCCTCCTGCCTTCATGGCCCCCGGGGCTAACATGAGAGGCATGCGTCACCTCACCTTGTGTTGGGGGTTGGGGACTTGTCGCCTAAGCAGACACTGCCAACTGAGCTTAGTTATCTTCCAAGACTGCACTTTGTAGAGAAGGCATGGGAGTGTGGCATCCCATCTTATTCTTAAAGCCTAAAGGTAACTACTGACAAAACACCTTCAAAGCCTCCCCGCCACACATATAGCTGAGGCACCTGTCTGAGGTTGGACACTTGTCTCTTCAAGTGCTTCTTGTCTTTCTGCTTAAGAAACTCACGGGCTGGTTCTGAACTTGTTTTCTGTGACAGACTCCCAGGTGCTCTTGTGTGTGGCCCACCATGCTCTGAGGGGGCCTCCCCTGCTTCCCTACTCAGCTGGTGGCAGTGCGTGTCCTGCTGCTCATGACAAGATGACTTCGCAGAGTTGCCAGAGGGGTCCAGGGAGTGCACACATGAACTACAAGGGCCCATGCCGTACTGCCTTCTGCAGTCATACCTCTTCCCTGCGTGGCTGCAACCTAGAACCTCCCAACAGATGTGGAGGGCAGAGCAAGCCAGTTCCGCCCGGCACTGTGGGCTCCTCATGGGTGACTGGCTTGCTGAGGATGCTATTGCTTCTGTGGTACATGTCCATGGCAGGTAGGATGTGGATGGAATGGGAAGGGACGGGGAGGCGGCTCTAGCTCCTGCTGTCCCTGGTGGGCTCCGCTGGGGGTCCCACTCACTGTGGTGGTGGCCCGCTGTCCCTTAGCCTGCCCTTGTCATAGTGCAGATATACTGACTGACTGCTCAGCTGTGCTTCGAAGACCCCCAGTGCGCAGTTTGCCCTGACTGCGTCCCTCTTGGTGCCTTGCTATCACCCATGATGTGGGAACTGGGGCAGGGTTGGAGAAAAGCCACCTTTGTTTCATCCAGGCGTCTTTACCAAAGTTTTGTCAGAGGTGGGGAGGGATAGTTTTCGTCTCGTGGGCACGTACTCAGGGTCTTAGTTCTGTAGCTTGAGAAGCTGAGGTAAGGCACTGGCTGGTTCAGCTCTAGGATAACTTCCTGTTCTGTCCATCATAGCGGAGATCTTGCAGCCTTCACACTCAGCAGTGGCTCTAATCCCATTCAGGAGGCTGAAACCTCTCGCCATGACCATCTCCCAAAGTCCTCACTGCTCAATGCTGTCCCGGTGTGTGTGGGGGGGTGGGGTTTCACCATCAACATACACATTTGGGAAGGATGAAGAATTCAGTGCTTAGCACATCACCCAACACGCTCGCTGAAAATATAGCATCTGTGTTATACACCCAAATGGATCCACAGCTGAGGCGTGACTCTTCTCAGACCTCTCTGTGGAAACTGATCAGTTGGGACCGATGAGATGATTTGGCAAATGGAGCCTGATGAGTTGGCTGCCTGGAGCCCACATGGTTTAAGGAGAGAACTCACTTCCGCAAATGTTTTCTGACCTCTCTAGAGATGCCCCTCCCCCCCCACTCAATAAATGTAATTTTTTAGTTAAAAATTAATTATCTAATTGTAAAATGTACAGAGATCTCTAACAGCCAAAACAAGCTCGTCAAGAAAGGACAGGGCTGGGGGGGGGTCTAACTGGATTAACAAGGGCCCTTGGGTGAGAGCTGTTGTGAGCTACTCAAGGCTATAGGAAGTGCTGTCCATCACCTCCCAGGGACTGGGTACCAGGAGCCTCCTGTAACTGAGCTCTTGTATTGCCCTAGGTGGGCTGGAAGTGAAGACCACAGAGACACAGACGGTTTTCTTACACGACAATGTCACTGTACCCTGCAAAATCCCGGGGTCACCCCACCTGGACATCACGATTGTGGGAATCCTCTGGTTTTGGAAGAAAGAGCGGAATGAATCTGAGGCCTCCATATACCAGTTTTATGGAAGTTACCGGGAGGCGACCCGACCTGGAGCCAATGTGTCATTGTTGGGGCTGGAATGGGGCGATGCCTCACTCCATCTGCCCAAGATCGAGCTGAGTGACGCAGGAGAGTACCGATGCAAGCTGGTGGTCACCCCTCAACAGGCAGAGGGGACGACCAGGCTAGATGTCGTGGGTGAGTCCTTGACGGAAGTGCCCGGTAGTTCCCATGGTGCTGAGGCTAGTGGTGGATGTGTGGATGGCCAAGCAGAGCCGGGGGTTAGGATGTGGGCGAAGGAGTCGGGGGAGGGGCATGGTTTTCAGTTCTGTCCACTGCAACGCATGCCAGTAGGCAAAAGAGGATGAGGCAGGAGGATCTTGAATTTAAGGCCATCTGCGGCTTCACATTTTGTGTGGAGATGTATATAGCTTGATTGTCAAGTCTTTGCCAGGCTCCGGCTCCAACCCCCATTCCTGCTCCAACTAAACAAAACCAAAACAGTTTGACAACCTTTAGCAACTTACCAGTCCCTCTGAACTTCAGTGCCCTTTTCTGCGCTCAGAGGTAAAGAGAATCTACCTAAGAGCTGTAGGGAAGAGTCTGTGAGCAGCCTGCTCTCTAGTGGCGGCCTCGGTAATGATGTACTCCACCTGTTACGTGGACCGTCCATCTTCACCAAAGAGGTGCCTCTGGGAGGTGCCTGGGAGAAGAGCTCAGTGCCAGGCTGGCCTCCACAGATCTCAACTCAGATGCAGCTTTGCTGCTCCCAACCTGAGAGACTGGACCAAACATTGAATATCTTTGGAGGGAAATTTTCCCATGAGTCAAACGGGATGGGCTCTCACTACGTTGCTGAAAGGTGGCTTGAACGGAAGCAGAATTGTTCTGCGGCTCCAACCAGCCTTTCCAGACTGCGTGTCTGTGGCCGCTTCTGCCTTCAGTCCCGCTGCATTCACCTGCAGCTACTGAGGTCAGCATCCTTAGCCATTTCCTGCTGCCAGGGTGTTGTGCATTTGGGTATTAGTTAGCCTGGCCGGCACAGCATGTTTGTTTGTTTGTTTGTTTGTTTGTTTGTTTGTTTGGAGATAGTTTCATGTATCCCTGGAAGGTGGCTCTGGACTTGCTGTGTGGCTGAGTCCCCTTTGTGTATTTTGGATAGAAGACCTTTATTGCATATATATATTTCACAAAATATGTCCTTGAAGTCTTGCTTATCATTTTACGTTGACAACTTCTACACAGAAGTGTTGAATTTTCACTAATCCTAACACTATTTTTCCTTAATAGTTTATGACCTGACATTATTTCCTTATTTGGCTTTTTGGAAAGCGGTTTCAGGTAGCCTAGGCTGGCCAGGATTTGCTATGTAGCTGCAGATGGCCTTGCACTCTGACCCTCGCGCCCCCCTCTCCCGCGTGCTGGCGCTGCGGATCGTGCCTCCCCACCACGCCTCATTATCAGGATCACAGCAGCTTTCCTTAGGGACACTTCCTGGGAGGTGCTTTTGTGCCTCTGACTAGGTCCAGGGTGACTGCATCTTCCTGCAGGATCTCTTTAACCTGCACGGGTCATTTCCAAGGCAAACATGCTAAGAATCAGTGTCCACTGTGGCTGCACGCCAGTGCTTCCTCAGAATCTGAGGAGTGTCCGACACTAGCTTCATGAACTCGGCTTGACAAAATTGCTGTGCAAATGAGGGTCACGGCGTGCCCAGAAGAGTTGATTAAGCAGAGTCTGAATGTGTTCAGTCACCCACCCCCAGCGCTTGCCCAGGGGTCAAACATACCAATAAGATCTTCTCTGTCTACCTCCAGGGAGCTCCCGGTCTGGTGTGGTAAACTGGGGGTCCCCAAACTCATTGCTGAGGTAGAAGCCATTCAGTGTGGTGTGAGGAGAGAAAACCAGTGGTTGGCCCTGGTCAAATTGTGGTTCTTTTCTCTGGCAGCTTCTCCGGCCGTGAAATTGTTTGTGAAACCAGCTACAGAGAGAAATGGTGAAGAAGAGCACGTTATATGCAAGGTGGATGGGTTCTACCCAGCAGCCATTGACATAAAGTGGGAGGAGAGCACCCTGAATGATCCCCACTTCCGAGCGATCACTGAGGGCATAATCACTGGTCCCGCTGTGAGGAATGATGATGGTACCTTCAGTGTTACCAGCTCCTTGGCCCTGAAACCAGCCCTGGAAGACCACGGGAATACCTTCACCTGTGTGGTGTCCCACAGATCCTTACTTGACTCCAAGAGGCTCAGTGTTACACTGCCTGGGAAAAGTAAGCGTTCCCCTGCTCCCCCCACTCGAGGACATGTGACCATCCCCCTGTCCCCCAACTCCAGGACATGTGACTATCCCCCTGCCCCCCCACTCGAGGACATGTGACCAGAAGTTTGGGATTTTGAGACGTCTAGGATCTTTGCTGGGGAAGGAGAGGAAATTTGGGGCCGAAGGAGAACAAACTAGATCTGGTTTATCTCAGACCCCAGAGTCAGCAGTCCAGATTTAGGTCCTGTGCTGATGGCCTAGAGGTAGATGCAGGGGTTGGGGTTTGGGGTGGGGGCAGATAGGGCTATCAGGGCTGTTTGTCAGCTCAGAACACCTTCAGAGTCTGGATGTTCCCATGACAGGTAGTGGGCAGTGTGTGTGTGTGTGTGTGTGTGTGTGTGTGTGTGTGTGTGTGTGTGCATGTGTGTGTGTCACAGAGAGAGAGAGAGAGAGAGAGAGAGAGAGAGAGAGAGAGAGAGAGAGAGAGAGAGAGGTGGCTGTGCCAGCTGAGCTGTTCTTAGAGTAAGGACTAGAAGCATGTGTGGATGCAACTTAAATATGCTGGTGTATTGAATATGTACTTTGGTTTGGGTGGATGTGTTATATGGTGTAGTCTAGAACCCATAAA